AAATGTCCTTTTTCTTTTTTTTTTAAGATTTATTTTTATTATTATTTTTTTTTTATTGGAAAGGCAGATATACAGAGAGGAGAGACAGAGAGGAAGATCTTCCGTCCGATGATTCACTCCCCAAGTGAGCGCAACAGGCCAATACTATGCCGATCCTAAGCCAGGAGCCTCTTCCTGGTCTCCCACGTGGGTGCAGGGTCCCAAAGCTTTGGGCCGTCCTCGACTGCTTTCCCAGGCCACAGGCAGGGAGCTGGAAGGGAAGCGGGGCTGCCGGGATTAGAACCGGCGCCCATATGGGATCCCGGGCGTGCAAGGCGAGGACCTTAACCACTTGCGCCACCGTGCTGGGCCCAAATGTCCTTTTTCTAGAGATCATATTTTATAATCTGTTGTTCTTCATTGGTCATGTTGTTGGTTTTTTTTTTCATTTTTATTTAATTTGAAAGTGACAGAGAGATAAAAAAATCTATCTACTGGTTCATTTTCCAAACACCTGTAATAATTGAGGCTGGGTTAGGCTGAATCGTGGAGTATAGAATTAAATCTAGAATTATCACTAGATTGGTGAAGGCCCAGGTACTTGTGCCGTGACCTGATAGGTGTGCAGCAGCAGGAAAGTGGAATTGAAAGAGGAACTGAGACAGCCCACACACTCAGATACAGGATGCAGGGAATCCCAAGTAGCATCTTAACTACTGTGTCAAGTGCCTATCCCTGTTAACATCCTTTCTTACCTTGATATTTTATTTATTTTTTTTTCCTCTGAAAGATCTGTTTGACCTGCTTTCTCCTGCTTCCTCCCATCCTTACATGTTTTATTGATGTTTCTTGGTGAGAGAACTTGCCCCTGTTGTTATTTTGTAAGTGATGAAAAATGCAGACACCTCAGTGTGCCCTAGAATAACACCATGCGATCTGTTCCGTTTGCTTCTGGAGAGCTCTGTGCCTTCTTTCTGGACTCTACATGTCCCATACCCAGGAGCAAAGTGACATCTCGCTCCCATTGAGTGGAGCTGCAGCCAACAAGGCTGGCTGTACTTCCACAAGGATCTATATGCAAAGCCCTCTGGGTTTGCCTTGGACCTGTACCAACCCTGCCTCTTAGGATGAAGAAGCCTTTTTTTTTTTTTTTTTTTTCAAATCCCACTGTCTGCTGTCCTCAGAGCTAACAGGTTCTATAGAGATACATGGGATTGGATTTAGGATAGAATGGGAGAAGGTGAATCAAATTCAAGAGTTTTTTTCTCTCTCCCCAGGATCCTGCATTGATATGCTTTATTTGTATCTTTAAATGTATCTTATTCTGAGTCACTTGTCATGTGTTTAATGATAGTATCAAAGAGACTTATATTTTGGAAGCCTACCTTTGACTGTCATGATTTGCCTAATCTTCTTACATATAACCTCTTGGACTATAAGGTAGTTTTTCAGTTAAGTGTCCTTTTAATATACAGTTTGAATTAGTAAACTCTTTTAGGAATGTTAATTGGCTTTGACACAATTCTTCTGGGGGAATTAACTTGTCATATGCTAATTTCATTGAGTAAAATGTAACCTGTCTAAAATACTGCACAAAAATTGAGATAGACACAGAAGATAATTATAGGGAAGATGTAGTTGCTAAAGTCAGTTTTGAGTTATCAATGTTACTGGGGAGAAGATGTGGAAATAAGATAGAAAATGAAAGCCTCTTGTAATCAGAAACTTGATTCAGGCCTGTGTTTATAGCCACTTCTTTTCTATAACGGAGTTGCTGGCAAGTGGTATTAGAAGAGATTATACAGTTGCAAGAGCCATTTTCTTCCAGAAAATGAAAACATGTAAGTAGTTCATGGAGTCTGAATATTTGAAAGACAATACTATCCCCATTGTCACAGGTTGTAAAGTTACTGCACATGTATAGATATTTATATTTTACTGGTCATTTGCCTTGAATGTTTGAGATTTAAATTATGCACACATGTTCACTGCAGTTGGATTGTTTGATACTCAGTTTGTCCTCATCAGCCTCAGGCAGCGACAATTTGAATTATACAATGTATAAACTTCGCATTGCATGGTAATTAGTCTTCACTGCTCAGAGGCACTTAATATTGAGGTTAATGGTTCAGTAGAAATGTTAAAGATCATGGAATAGATTCCCTGCGAATGTGTGCAGTGGAAAGGCTGAGCATCAGTGAAAGCTTTTATTCTGTCTCAGTGACAGCTTAATGCCTGACTGTCTAGTTCAGTCACTTTTTTGGATTTATTACATAAATGAATCTAGGGTCTGGTGACATACATTTGAACTTTGCTTTTATCACAGGCACAAACTGAAGAAAATGCTGCCTTTTGAAAAGTGTTTTCTTTTTGTTATCCTGTAAATTTTTTGTGAGTAGAACCTTGCTATGCAATGTATACTCTCTGAATTCTCTTAGCTTAAACAAAGTGTTTCACATGGTAATTACAAAAGGGAGAGGAAAAGGGTGGTCAGTTCTTTTGGTGTACCAAGACTTGTTGACTGTGTGAAAAAGTAATTGTCAATGTGAAATATGTAGACCAACAATAATATAAGACTGTATTTTAACATTTTGTACCTAATGATGTATTTGTATGGTTAAGACAAGAACTGAAAAAGGTTTTGTGATGCAAAAACTGTGTCATATACCACCTTTGTACCTTAGCATTAAAAACTGAAGCTTGTTCTTGAAGAGAATTTTGAAAATAAATCATGGAAGGACCCCTACTGAATTCTGTGTTTTCCCTGGCACTGGAATGTTTTTAAAGCTTAAGATCAGGAATATATAGATAAGTTAAAAGTTATATCCTTTAGTAAGGTTTATTTATTTATATAAATATGTATATTATTTTATAAAGGTTGAATATTGAACTGGAATTCTTGGGTATTCTAGGCCATAATTAGAATACTGTTTGCAAATTACAAATTTCAGTGAGTCAACAAAATATTCTTCTTTAATTTAGTTTGTATACTATGCTTTAATTATTTGTAGTGTTGCTTAACATTCCAGGAAATGTCTTCTAATAGAAATCATAAAATAATAAAGTTTCAGTAGTATGAATTCAGTGTTTACTTATCACTCTGTTTTAAAATCCTCAGAGTAAGATATTTTTTAAGGTTCGCTGTGACGGCACAGTTTGGCAAACTCCTTTTTTTACAAGCAGTGGGATCCCATATGGGCTCCTATTCATGTCCTGGCTGTTCCTAATTCCCATCCAGTTCTCTGCTTATATCCTGGGAAAACAATGGGGAGATGGCCCAAAGCCTTGGGACCCTTCACTCAGTGTGGAACTCGAATCAGTGTGACTTTGGATCAGCTTGGTGCTGATTATTGTGGCCATTTGGGGAGTGAACCAGTTGCTGAGAGAGCTTTCTGTCTCTCCTTCTCTCTGTAAATTTGTCTTTCAAAGAAAAATAAATAAATCTCTTGGTTTTAAAAAAGATATTTTGTAAGGACTGATCTAGTTTGATGCAGTAAAGGACATCTGTGGTAACTTTACCCATTTAAAGTTTTTGAAAGCAAATGCTCACTTGACAGAAATAAATGGATTAATTTGGTCTATGTCATTTTTTTGTTGCTGAGTAAATAAGACCAAAAATTTTCTAAGAGCCAGAAGTGCATATTCCTACTAACAGCAGTATTTTATTTTTTGAGGTAATCCTTTTTGATGCTTACTCATACGTATGAATGTGTGTGTGTATTTACAGATACAATCAGCAGGTATAGTTCATATTAGCAATAACAGCTCCTTAGCCCCTTACCTATTGTCTTTCCTGTATCATGCTAATAGTTAAGGAATAAAGCGTTGGTTTGCACATAATTGACCTCATATGAGTGGGAGGTGAAAAATAAACAAGCCTGAAGATTAAAATCTAGTTGAAAATTTGAGCATTTGTCTTTAGTTCCATCATAGGGTGAAAGTAAGCAAGAAAGAATTCTTTGAGTATAGGTGTGGGGTTTTGCAGGATCTGTGTGTGTCTGTCCTACTCTTTTTATTGATTGTTAGAGACTCTGATTTCACTTCCACAAAGAGAGATTGATTTGTTATATAGAGATTTTATATTTTGAAATGTGAACAAAGCATTTTAAGATTAAATAGGCCATGCTTACCACCTTTTTATGATTACACAATTGTAGTGACATTTTTTATTTCATTTGCTGATCAGATAAGGTCTTTATTATGTTAAGATTCCTTTTCTGCTTTAGTGGCTAAAAGACATATTCTGTAACTGATAAAATTTATACAGCATAAATGTAACTTTTTCACCTTAAATTGAGTATTACTTTTTAGTAGGGAGGCCTTGTGATTCTTAATATTACAAAATCACTTAAAATTTAGCATAAGGTGGACTCACTGTGGAACGATACATTTTTTTCTGTATGTTTCTCATTCTGTGGCATAGCTGGATGCTGCTCCCCATAGTGTAATCTGTTCTTTGTTTCTTTTAAATGTTTTTCTGATCCCTGATCTTTAAGTACTTCTTCATTCTCTTTCTCATAATGAACTGCATATTTGACAAGACTTAAATTTAGGTGTCACCTCTCTGTAAGTTTCAGAATTGCTTTCCTCCCTTTTACCCAAACAGAATTAAATAGTCCTGTTTGTCTTATTGTTATGGCATTTATATATAGGTGCTTATGTAAGCACTAGCTGTAAAGGATAGGTAATAGTTGTTAGGTGCGGGGGTCATCTTTATCCATCTTTGTATCTGCTAGGACATGCCTTGTCTTAACATTTGTTCATCTACAATATGTTATTCCATACTTAGCATGATAATGAAAATCCCTTACCTCATAAAATGCTTTGATCATAGTAACCCTTCCTCCTTACGCTTCTCACATACCTTATTCCCACTGTCATCTGTGGTTGCTAGTAAAATATTTTTGCTGTTATGGAGATAACAGAAGTATCATTTTGTGTAAGTTGGACTCAAGGAAATTGCTTTGGACTCCTTGTTGCTGTTTAGTCTTGAGAGTTTCCTTTTCTTCTCCCTTTTGCAGGATCCCAATAGGAGCATCCATACCAGCAGCAGCAGCAGCAGCAGTAGCAGCAGCAGCAGCAGCAGCAGCAGCAGTAGTAGCAGTAGCAGCAGCAGCAGCAGTAGCAGCAGCAGCAGCAGCAGTAGCAGCAGTAGCAGCAGCAGCAGCAGCAGTAGTACCAGTTTTTCAAAGCCTCACAAATTAATGAAGGAGCACAAGGAAAAACCCTCTAAAGACTCCAGAGAACATAAAAGTGCCTTCAAAGAACCTTCCAGGGATCACAACAAATCTTCCAAAGAATCCTCTAAGAAACCCAAAGAAAATAAAGCACTGAAAGAAGAGAAAATAGTTCCTAAGATGGCCTTCAAGGAACCTAAACCCATGTCAAAAGAACCAAAACCAGACAGTAACTTACTCACCATCACCAGTGGACAGCAAGACAAGAAGGCTCCTAGTAAAAGGCCCCCAATTTCAGATTCAGAAGAACTTTCAGCCAAAAAAAGAAAAAAGAGTAGCTCAGAGGCTCTATTTAAAAGTTTTTCTAGTGCACCACCGCTGATACTCACTTGTTCTGCTGACAAAAAACAGATAAAAGATAAATCTCATGTCAAGATGGGAAAGGTCAAAATTGAAAGTGAGACATCAGAGAAGAAAAAATCAACTTTACCACCATTTGATGACATTGTGGATCCCAATGATTCAGACGTGGAGGAGAATATGTCCTCTAAATCTGATGTGAGTAGTTCTGTTGGCTTTTCTCACCTCCCCTAGTTTTCAGGTTTTGGTTCACAGTAAAGAAGGAGAGGGGAAAATGAATTCTGAGCTTTGGAATGTGTGTGGCCTAGAAATGCATCTCCTTAACTACTAGGAAGGAGAAAATAAAGATTATTAAGCGATCAAGAGCAGATTTGTTTTTTTGTTTTTGCTGTTGTTGTTGCTGCAAAGTAAGGTGTTAAAGCCAAGATACTTAATGTCCATCTATAGCAAAATCTGTGGCCATTGCATGATCATAAGTCACTTGAATAGAAGTAGTGAACCTTGGTGCTCATTCAAACTTCATTACTATGCTTTTCCATGATAATTTATGCAAATGCAGAAAGTACAATATAAATTGAATACAAGGAGAAAATAAATTTAAAAAAGAAACCTAGAAATTATGGAGGACAGCTATGATGTTGACCTTTTAATCGTTGGGATGAAGTCATTTGCTTATATAGCTGGAAACTGGTGATAATATTTAACAGATTTATTGAGGCAAATTGGCATAACAATGTACACACACATAAAATGGGTTATTTCATACGTTTTGCATTTGAATATACTTGTAAAACCAGGCAACAGAATTTTGCAAATGAAATTAATGTTTTTCCTTCATTGCACAGCTGCCAATTTGCAAGGGTAAAATGCTTGGTCCTCACTTAGTTTTTGCTAATGCTTAGGACTTTGTGTGTTGATGCCAGGAAGAACACCTGACCCTCTGGTACCCAAAGTATGATATCTGATGTTGGGATTAAAAGTTATAATTCTTGATTTACACAACTGGAAGGGGTTTTTATAGTTATCTGTTTTAACCAGTTGTTAGTGTAAGGAATCTTGTAAGGAATGACAGGACTGTGAGAAGGTATTCAGTTCAGTTTTAAAGGATAAGAGTTATTTACAACGAAGTAATCACCTATCTTCTCTTCCTTTTCCCCTGCTGTTGGCCTTCTTCAGTTATGGAACAGTGACAGTCACGGTCATTTTTGCCTTGTCAGTATTTCTAGATAGTGATCAAAGAAACTGGATAAAAATTGCCAGCAATTTGACTGCAGCTGAAACACTGGCAGAGGGTAGGAGGTCTTAGTCACTCTCCGTCTTTGCACTGTTCTGAGTTAAAGTCATACAGGGTCAGGAAATGGGACATGGTGACCATATTGGTCCATGTCCAAGGACCACCTCCTTCATCCCTCCTCTCTGTAAGCAAACAATTGAGCAGAAAGCTTATGTGCAGAACAGTATATGAAGTCTTGAGGTTAAATAATTTGTTCCAGTATTTGGTGCAGGCATTACATCATGACCTTGTGAAATGGAGACGAGAGTTGAATAGGTTTATTCCAATAGTTCATGTACTCTTTTTTTCCTTCTTTGTTTATCTCTGTGCTTAATTTGAAAGTTATTTTTAGTGCACAAATCATTTGGAACTTTTTTGCATATGCATTTGACTTTTTTTTTTCTGGATCACCCTGAAAGTGCTCTTGGGATGTGAACAGTCTATCAAATTTACCAAGTTTAGCAAGTTTGTTTTACTCTATTTTGACATGTTGTGATTCTTCTGAAACAGAAGTTTTCAAAATGTAGGTTGTGATTCACTGATGTGCTATGAAATCAATGTAGCATGTCATGAGCAATGTTTAAAAATCAGACCAGGATGTAATAGCATGAATTAGTAATGGTGGGCAAAAGTTTTATGTGTGGGGGTGCAGGGTGTATCTTTCTTCCAAAGGTTGGAATTTTGAAAGATGCCTTTTTACAACATTGGTTTATAAAGAGACCAGTGCATTCACAAAACACATTCTACATGCTGTTTCTTTGTGAGACTAACACAGATGGTGTTCCCCTTCAGGTAATTCCATTTATTATTTTTTTGTTTGTTTCTTGCTTCCTCCCTTTTACTGATGTATAATGTATGACTTTCTTTTTAGAAAAAATTTCAACTTGCAGTATTTATCCAGTACCTTGAAATGTCTTCTGAAACAAAGAGTTAAAATCATATTTCTTTGTAGTAGGTAGTAAATTTTCAAAATGACACGACGTATTGCAGCTGCAAATCCAGTGATTGCAATATGATTTTTTAAAAATGTGTTCTATATCAGCACATAACCTCTAAAGACTTCAAGGTTTTATTTGGGCACAAAACCAAACAAATTTAATGTGTATATTAGTCTTCTGATAATGGTAATTCTTTCATTGCTACTGCTGTTGCTTCTGTTCTTTAAATGTAGGTGGTTTAACAGAAAAGTGACAAAAGTGATGCTGTAAGTCAGAAAACAAAAAAAACTTTCCGCTAGCAGAGAAAGATAAGAGACACTTGAAACTCTGTCTGTCTCTAGTAAAGGTAGCCTTGGCCATTTTCTGAACTGTTTCCTACCTGGCATCTCTCTTGAGATAGACAGAAGGGTACTAAGTACCCTGTAGCCTCTTTTGGTCACTGACTGATTTGGTGGCTTGGAGCAGGCCCTACTTCCGGAGGCACTGCCCTCCTCATGCTAGTTGGGAGCCTGTGAGCCTCTCAGTAGGTATGGTCAGTTGGGCAGATCTTTCGAAAGCCCTTTCTAACTTCCTAACTTGAATATGAGCCAAATTTATGTCCATTGTGGGAGAAGACTGGTGACTAATTTTAAGCATAGTAGGCAGATATCGTGGATTTTGGAAACAGAAATCAAAAGAGTTTGAAGAATTGGGAAAGCTTGGTAAGATAATTATATGCCTAATTGGTCTGTAAAGAAGATACCCATTATATTTAGAAGGAAGAAGTTTTTAAAGGTGCTTTTTCACAATCAAGTTAATTGCAGGTTTAATATAAATTATAAGTACTATCAAGATGGATTAGGAAGCTTAGATTTTTGGAGGGGCTTAGATTTTTGTGCATTTTATATATGGAGAGACTAAGTTTCAGAGCCCAAAATCACCAGTGATTCGGGCAAATGACTTAATCTTCTTTGTTTCCTAACTTCCTCTTTTGTAAAACAGATATCATAATAGTATTTTCTTTGTAGGATTATTGTGAAATTTTAATAAGTTAGTCCGGAAAAAGTAGTTAACATACTTATCAAAAGATGTTAGTAGCTATTGGGAAATTTCATAACTTGTAACTTTGAAAATGGTATGTTTATATTAAAAATATTCTAAAACTCAGATCTTTCTTCAGGAAATAAGGGGAAGGAAATGTAATTGGAGTATGTCACTTTGGTCTGATTTTTTTATATAATTCTTATTTGAAATTGAGAGACAGAGTTCTTGGCATTCTCTGGTTCACTTCCCAGATGATCATAATAGCTGGGGCCAGGCTAGGCTCAATCCAGGAGCTTCATCTGTATCTCCCACATGGGGGCAGCAGCCCTAACACTTGGGCCATCCTCCACTGCTTTTTCAGGTGCACCACTGGGGAACTTGAAATGGAGGAGCCAGGGCTCAGAGGTGCACCCATATGGGATGCGGCATTGCAGGTGGCAGTTTTACACTCTTTACCACAAGGCCAACCTTGGCTGTGAATTATGTCTTAAGGAGGCATCTGGCTTTGCTATTCATACACACATTTCATGATCTTTGAGAAAATGCAGGACAGAGAATCCAAATTTAACCAAAAGGTAAGCAAACTTTCCCAGAACCTTTTAGCTTTCTAATAAACTGAGATAAACGAACACATCTAGTGCTGCACTGGGTGGGTATATGGTAGCTTTTAAAATCGCTGTTACAGTTACAGCATCCTAATAAATGACTTATTAATTTAATAAGCGATTTATGCATTTGTTTGAAAGATGGAGTTCAGGGAAAAAGAGAGAGAATTAATCCATTTTTCAACTACCAATTCACTCCTTTAACTGCCTGCAAATGCCAGGACTAGCCTGGCTAAAGGCAGGAGCCAAGAACTTCGAGCCTAATAGGTGGGCCGTCATCTGCTGCCTCTCAAGACAAATTAGCAGGAAGCTAGATTGGAAGCAGAGTAGCTGGGACCTGAACCGGGCACACTGACTTAGCATGTGGGCATCCTCTGAAGCAGCTGCACCTGCCTATCCCACAGGACCCACCCCCAGATGATTTATTTTTGTGTTAATAAAGCCAAAGAGTAATTACATATTATTATATTTGATGTGTGTGTATATACACACATATATGTATATATACATATATAATATACATATTATTATATTTGAAAATTTTAATACTGCAAAATATAATCCCTTCAATAATTTTTCCATGGAGGTGGGAGGAAAGGAAAATGGAAAGAGATCTATAGGGAATGAGCATTTTGCCAGTAGAAAAAGAATTATGTTAGGGAATGTTTTTGTTAAGAATAATTTGTATTCAAGAACCTAGTTAGTTCTGACTAGAGCCAAGCAATTTTGGCCTTGGGAATTCATTGCTGGAGGTGGTGAAATAGTCCACTATATTTACTGTCTAGTACCTAAAAGATTGTCTCTGTTACTAATTGACCCTAATTGGCAGCAGGAAAAAGTGAACATATGAATGCATAAGTATCAGCCAAAAGCTTATAATTGTGGTTTATGTTAACTTGTGTAAACTTAATAATAATAATAAACAACTAAGTGTCTTTCACTCCTTCTGTAATTCTGCAGGTTTTATTTTTCATATAACTCTGCTTCTAAAGGAGGCTCTATGAAGTTGGTCTTTTTTGTAATACAAAGGTGTTGCATTTGTGGTAGAGCTGGGGGTAAAGACCCGTAAATAAAATCTGATTTGCCAGTTTATGATCAGATTCAAATATGATAGTAATTTCCTTATCATTGCTTTCACATTTTTGGCCTTGCTTTGTGGAGATTTAATCATAATTTACAAGCACAGATGTTAAAAGTTCTAATTAGCTCCCCTTGAAAATAGGTAAATTATATTTGGCAAAATGTTCAGCACTTTAATCTGTAGTGTAAGAGCTGAGATTCCAATCATATCTTTTGATAGTTTAGCCTTAACGTGTGTTTTCTTGGATAAAAGGAAAAAAAAGGAATCTCATCAGATGG